AAAAAAGAAGGTGCTTATGTCAGTTATCTAACAGGGGTTTAGTTAAGGATTAATGTGTGGTTGGAGTCCTCAAACTTCTTCGGATGGCTGGTTCAAGAGCCTATTGTTCTTCCATGCACACGAAGAACTCGTAGTAGGCCAGAGTTGGGTTCTCCAGCTATTTCTCCGATGATCAAGTCAGTATATGTACTTGAGTGGGAAAATATGACATGATGAAGTGGGTTTCAAGGTTGTGTGAAAAGACCAGAGAGCTACGTTGAACTGCATGATTTCCTTTTATGGATGATCAGAAGGAAAAATAGGTAACTTGAGCCGAATCCAGGTAGATAGCTGACTCGTCAGACAGCTGACAAGTGTCGACCGCTGGCGAAGATGGGTCACCTAAGTGGTTAGTGCAAAGCAGCATCAACTGCTGGGTGTTGATTGGGTCTAATAAGTAATAAAAATTATGGGGGCTAGAGCCATGATGACTTTGTCAAAACAGTTAATGCAATGGTAGTTGGTTCGCGGAGAGAGGTTCGAGGATACACTGCCTCTCTAGTTGTCTGGCTAAAGACCGACAAACACCATTTTTTTAAGCAGCTAATATAGCGGGCCGAGTGAGAGTACTTATAGGATCGATCGGGTGGGTAGGCCGAAAAGTTCCTCCTTTTTAGTATCGTCCTCGGAAGTTCTCGGCGCAAATTGGAGAGAAGTGACGCTGCCTAGTGAGAAGGGGCGAGTAGCCTAGGCTAGAAGGGACGAGTCGACCAGGCTAGAAGGGACGCTTGTCTCAGCCTGGCGAGAAGGGACGAGTCGGCCAGGTGAGAAGGGACGCCTGTCTCGGCCTATCTGGGTTGGCTTGAGGTATAGTCTGCTTGAGACGTGTTAGCTAGTTGAATATTGATTAACACCTGCTTATTTCTATGGCACAACAAAAGGTATAATTTTCAATCTCCAAGGTGTGATTTTTTTTATCTATTAAAACTTTTGATTTAGTAAAATGCACCCGAGCAATGCCAACAAACATAAATAGATGAATGATTTGTTCCATGATGTTGATGTCAGAAGTTAAATAATGGGATTTAGGGTAGATTTTGAAGAAGTTAGGGTCCCTTAATGTCCTTTTAATGGCTGATTGTTGAGTGGGAGATAGTCCTTGTTGATGGTTAGAATCACACCATCAAATAGTTGTACTAGGAGTGATTAGGGCCCGTTCTACCCTCCAAATGTCTAAATTTTAAGATGAGTTGTACTATCTTACACAAGGTAGAAACTCATAAGAGGGCGGGGTTGTTTCCCCCGTTGTTCCTTCGACGATCAAGTTTGCAAGACGTTTGAGTGGAGAAGAAGTTTGAACTGTGAAAGTTCTTTATTACAGCGAGGAAGCTAAAGTGACAAAGAAATTGCTTACCCTGATTTAAATAATAGTTTCCTTATTTATAGCAAAGATTGTGGGGGTAGTTTGGTAACTCCCGTTGAGTCAACACAATCTTTATAGGTGTCGGCAGTGGAGTGGAGGAGATCACTTCCTCATTTAATGTAATGTGACCGGATGTACGCGAAGACAGCATGGTCCGATGTGTCATAAAGACTATTAGGGACAAAGGAATGATGATGCCCATAATGTATTTAATAACATTTATTACGAGATGCTTGGTCACCAGTGCACAGGAGGGGCTTGAGACTCGAGGCATTTCACCATCTTTCTGCTCGTCCGGTGGTCGAGAAGTACTGTCTTTTGAGTTGTTCTCGCAAGGTGTCGGCCGATTAGTAGGCCGAGTGGAGTGATTAAGTAGTCGACGTAGCCAGGGGACGGCACGTAACTCTTTTTTTGGGTCGTTGACATGTGATGCCTTTCAGGTCGTCGATACGTGACGCCTTTCAGGTCATACTCACTAGATGTCGGCGTGTCGAGTCGAGCGAATTGGGCCTTTGGTTATCTTGAAACGTTAAATTGATTATGCATAATGTGGGACACTTGTCTGCCATTGATTAGAGATTATTTTTCATCACTAAAATGACTATAACAGTCCTGCATACTTACAACATGTTAGACGATTGTAGGCATGTAAAATTGCTTATAAGTCCCTTGGCATAGCTCGGCGCGGTGATTCAACAAACCATCGAGTGACGAGGCGACGAGGTCAACGAATCGCACACGAGCAACAGAATGCATCCATTCGCGTGCGGAATCAAGCCAACGGTTCGGGGAGTCAACGAGTCATCCAAACAAGAGCGGACTCGGATGAATCGAACTCAGAAGTGGATTTACTGCCAAATCAGGTCAACAAATCGAGTCCAGACAAATCAACCGCACAACCGAATCACGGACAAAACGGGAACAACGACAAAACGACGGAACCCAAACACCCTGAGGGGCTCGGCCGAAACCGAGACACTTCAGGGTGGCTCGGCCCAGGCCGAGGCACCCTGAGGTGGCTCGGCCCATGCCGAGCCACCCTGAGGTGGCTCGGTGGCCGAGCCACCCCAAGGTGGCTCGGCAAAGGCCGAGCCACCTCAAGGTGGCTCGGCCCAGAGCCGAGCCACCCTGAGGTGGCCGGCCCAGAGGACCGGATCTCAGATCTACGCAGGCATACTCCGGATCAAAGCTTGGCCTTTGATCCCGAGATTTGGGCGATTGTTTCCTTGGTGAACCAATCCCCCCCGGCTATTATTTCCTTGGTGAAATAATATCCGTCGTACTGCGTAGATCCGACCGGATCTAGATCGCGCGGTGGTCCACGGATAAACCCCGGCGCAGGCGAAGAACCCACACAAAGCGAGTGACCGCAAAACAGGAGCTCGTGATTTGTTCGACAAACAAGGATAAAAAGTTGTAATCTTTCTTTTTCTTTTTCTTTGATTTTCATTGTAACTGGATCTTATAAAAAGACCGGATCTTTGTAACTCAAAAAGTTATTATTTAAGAGTGCAATGGAATCAATTACAAAGAAAAGCACGATTTTTCCCGCGAACAACGATCATAGTTGAGTTTTCCGATAGTCCTCCGACGATCAAGTTAGTTGTCATCTAAAGGAGAGAAAAATGCTGTTGTTCTCTTAAATATGCGAATTTTTGCATACCTTCATGCAGCAGATGATATATCTATTTATATTAGGTCTAGAAGGATATTTGCGTAACTTTAGCCGAGTCCAGGAGTCAGCTTAAGCAGCTAATACTTTATAGCTGTCGGCAATGGGTGCTCGTGTGGTTCAATGAGTCATTATGACTCTAGGGGAGGTATAATGATAGCTTTTACCATGCATTTAATGTGATAGTGACTAGCTATTGTTGCTAAGTTGGAGAGGAAGCGCCTTTCATCTCAATCCTTCGAGAGAGGTCAAGTGAAGATGCTTCTCAACTCGCCCTATTGAGCTAGGACTCCTCAAATATCTTAGAAGGCTCAAGTGAGACGTCTTTCAAGTCGGCCTTCAGATCGAGAACGAATGAAGACGCTTTTCAAGCTGACCTTTGTAAGACTCGGGTCAGGTTGATATGCAGTTGATCGTGACATGTGTCGCTTTTTGGAGAGAGATTTACACTTGGCGGTTTCTATAACATAACACATGAGACAAGAGTCTCAAGTGGGTTAGGACATTTTTTTTGCAGCATAACATGCAAAAACAAGACAACAGAAAAGCCAAATCAAAGGGTCGTTGTAAAATATATGGGGACAATCACTCTACTATGGTTGCATCGATAAAAGGTAGCATCAGGTGGATAAAACTATCATGCACTTCTCATTGTTGAAAAAGTTGAAGAACACCACCATAGTTATTCTGTGCAATCATTGCTAAAATCTCTCAAGATCACTGAAACACTACTCCGTACTTCATTCATCAAGAGATAGAAGGGTTAATGTCTTTCTAGATTAACCATATTACTCGATTTAAGAAAGTTTTGGGTTGAGAGTGTTGGATTTAATCTAATAAATCTATTTATGGGCACATATGATTAATCAATGTGTATTGCTATCTTTCAGGATAACCCACTAAAGTGATCAATTAAGTTGGGTTAATGAGTATTTAAATATAATCATGGGGTTATATGTGCAGATACCAGGTTGTAATTATGATTTATTGATGGGCTAAATTACAAAAGTACAACATCTATAAATAAGGGGTTACGGTCCCTAACCTAGTGTTACACTCTCTAATTCTCTTCACCCCCATCTAGAGAGAGAAATTCGGATTTAGAGAAACCATAAGGTTAGAAGATCATTGAAACCCAAATCAAGATTTCTTCTATGGATTCAGGTATAATCTTCCGCACTCTTTTGATTATTGTTAATCTCTTTGAATTAATCATGGCTATATGGTTTTAGATCTCAAGTTTGTTAATCTCTTTGAATTAATCATGGCTATATGGTTTTAGATCTCAAGTTTTGGTTTAGATCTAACAGAGCGACGATGAAAAAACAACCCCTGAAAGTTATCTTTTCCTTGTTCGTGTCGCTGCGGAGGCTTTCATAGCTATTATTGCATATCTTGATTTTTGAACTACAGATCTTATCGGAGCATACCAAAATACCCAAATCCTGATGCTGCATAAAGTAAGTTCACACAAAAAAAAAACATGTGTCAATATGGAGCGAGAAGTTGAGATTGGTTTTCTTTTTCATTTGAAAAAGAAAACGCAACATGACTTGCAAGGTCAAAAATAAATAAATAGACCTTCCCTCGTCGCCAAACGAAACCAAAGCCAAATGACGCTCGAACTCCTAGTCCCGTATCGCATTTATTTCCTCGTGTCACAAAATGAGCCGCGCAGGTTAGCGGCGAAACGCGTTCGCCGCGACCTCTCGACCCGCCACCTTTGATTCGTCGACCGAAATTGACCCCGAAAGTAGCGGCGCAGGTTAGCGACGGCCTCCGTTCCTCTGTGTCCCCCCATAAATTGAAATGCTCTCCTCTATTTCTCCCCAGAATTTATTCCCCTCTTATTTCACCATTTTATTGAAGGCGGAAAAAAAAAATCGAAACCCTAATGGCGGAAGAACCAGGCAAGATCGAATCCATCAGGGAATGGGTCGTGCAGCACAAGCTCCGAACCGTTGGTAAATTTCAAATTTTTTGGATTTTTTTTTTCCATCTTTTTAGGGTTTGGTTTTATTGGGTTCTGATGTTTGTTTTTTTGAAGGGTGCCTTTGGCTGAGTGCAATTGGGGGCTCATTCGCTTACAATTGGTCGAGGCCTAATATGAAAACAAGCGTTAAGATTATTCACGCAAGGTTAGAGTTATTGATATTATTATTATTTTTAATTATAGTTTTATTATTGAAAAGATTCTAGTTTTTTTTTTTTAATTCTAAAAGTGATATTTGATCTCCTGAGCCCCTTGCATTGGTTATGGATATATGACTGAAAATTTTGATTCTTGGTATGAAAGTTTGGATTTTTAGCGTTATAGACAGAGCAGAATAGGTTTCAGGGTCGAAATTACTTTTTCAGAATGATTTATGATTTAATCGAAAATCGATACACTATTCAATTATGAATTGAATGATACAAGATGGTTAGTTTAGATAAGACAATTAGATG